TTTTTTAGTTTCCAAGTTTGATGTTAGCTGTTGTTTCATTAATTTTCAAGTTGATTCTAGTTTCATCTAATCATGAGCTTTTTATATATTGTTCGCTTACTTATTAGCTTAATTTGCATTTCTTTCTCTTGATCAAATACTTCCATTTGAGCTTGCAAATTTAATTTTTTTTAAAGATATTTCCATATGTTATTTGTTTTCAAATTTAGTTTTGCTTTGGTTTTTGTTACTTTTTAAGTTCAATTTGGTTTCAATTTGCTTTAAGTTTTTTACTACTTGTTCACCTATGAGCTAACTTGTTCGCCTATGAGCCAACTAAGTCTCCATAAAATTTGAGAGCAAAATTCGATGTATTTTGCTTTAGATCTAAGATTAAAAGAGCTGTACTCCAGATTTTATTTTATTGTTTTTAGCCTTTAGAGTTCATTTAGTTGCGATTTTTCACAATTTTCAATTGCAATTCCATTTCCTTTGGTGTTGAGCTTTCACATACATGTTCATTCATTAGTTAGATAAGTTTAAATGAAATTACAAGTTGAAATTCTAATAATTGCTAATGCAAACCATAAGCTAATTGAGAGGTTTAAGAATTTTGTTTGAGTTTTCAAATGGATGTTTTCTTGTTTCTTCTTAGATTTTTTTTGGATTTTTGAGCTAGATAAAGATAGTCCATGAATGCCGTTAGGTTAAGACATTACCTATAAGGCTTCATGTGACTTGAATATACCATTTTACATTTTTGTTTGGTTTATTTTCATACTTATATGCTGTTGTCTTTAGTTTCTATCTTGATTTCGATTTTTACTTGATTTACATTCATGCTTTTTAAATTTCATGGATTTAAATACCAAGTAATTTAAATTTCCAACACTTTAATTTTATGTCATTTACATTCAGGAAAATTTAATTTCTTATCCTTTTAATTTTATGCAATTTTAGTTTTTTGCAACTTACTGTCAAGCACTTTATTTTTTGCTATTCACATTTTTATTGCATTTTTAATTTTCAAGTTCATTACTTTTTATCGCAATTTATACTTCAAGCTCTTTATTTTTATTTGTTATTTCAATATCGTGCCTTTTAAATTCATGTCCTTTAATTTCATGTTTAAGTAGGTTAATTTTCATGTTTGAGTAGGTTAAAATTTGTTAGGTTAACTAGTTCATTTTAAGTTGATTAGTAAGTAAGCTAATTACTTTGACAAGTGTAATTTAAAGTTTAACTTCATGCAATCTATATAGTTTAATTTTGATTGAATTAGTAGTTTTAGATTAATTAAAACCCTAATCAAAACTTTCCTAATTCAAAAACTTTCTATTTTAGTAAGTTTTAGGGTTAGTTTAGTAATTTTCATAATTTGTTAGTAATTAGGTTTAATTTCACTTGGCATAATTTTTAGATTTAATTCATGTAAGGTAATTTAGTAATTTTATCGAAATCTCCTTTCGAGCTAATTATATCCTAAATGTCTATTTTCATACTTACATTTTTGTTTGGTTGATTTTCATACTTATATGCTGTTGTCGTTAGTTTCTATCTTGATTTCAATTTTTACTTGATTTACTTTCATGCTTGTTAAATTTCATGCATTTAAATACCAAGTAATTTAAATTTCCAACACTTTAATTTTATGTTATTTACATTTATGCAAATTGAATTTCTTATCCTTTTAATTTTATGCAATTTTAGTTTTTTGCAATTTACTCTCAAGCACTCTATTTTTTGCTACTCACATTTTCATTGCATTTTTAATTTTCAAGTTAATTACTTTTTCGCAATTTATACTTCAAGCTCTTTATTTTTACATGTTCTTTCAATATCATGTCTTTTAAATTCATGTCTTTTAATTTTATGTTTGTGGACTTTAATTTCATGTTTGAGCTAATTTCAACTTAGTCTTAGGGTTAATTTTCATGTTTGAGTAGGTTAAAATTTGTTAGGTTAACTGGTTCATTTTAAGTTGATTGGTAAGTAAGCTAATTACTTCGGCAAGTTTAATTTAAAAATTTAACTTCATGCAATCTATATAGTTTAATTTTGATTGAATTAGTAGTTTTAGATTAATTAAAACCCTAATCAAAACTTTCCAAATTCAACACCTTTCTATTTTAGTAAGTTTTAGGGTTAGTTTAGTAATTTTCATAATTTGTTAGTAATTAGGTTTAATTTCACTTGGCATAATTTTTAGATTTAATTCATGCAAGGTAATCTAGTAATTTTATCAAAATCCCCTTTCGAGCTAAATATATCTTACGTGTCTAATTTCAGTTGTTTCCCCTAGTTTATAAACCCACTCACTGTGGAGACAATAACCCCTATACTTCCCTTCTATATTATTTGTGCGTTGCAGTACTCCTGCGTGGCACACATCAGAAAGAGGCCAATTTGAATTTGGCGGCTGTTTCGAAACCACAGCAGCTGGAATGTCTAGTTCCAGATATGCATTAGCTTCTTGTCCGTTCAATCCACCCATTCTACATGCTGACTGTTTAGCTTCGTCCCAATTTTTGTCAGTGCTTTTGATGGTTACACTTTTTAAGAATTTGCTATGAGTTCTTCCACCCTCCCTTGCGTGATCTGCTGAACTTCCACTTGAAAAGGAAGGAGTTGGCTTATAACCAGGGATTTTTTTATACCTAAGTTCCATAGAAACTCAGAACCTTCTTGAATAATTAATTTGACAAGGTATGATTTTCCATTTATGAGAATGGAAACTGTACTAGGAATAGGGAATCTTTACTAGTAAGAGATAGGACTCTGCCTGTGTCTAAGCGCTTTTTGTTCATTGTGCTATCATCAATTGAAATGAAACTGCCTCATTGATTCCCCTTTTTTTAAAAAAAATATTCATAGCAACAGGCCTAGAGAGGGATCCTTTCTAGTTTTAGCCACACAAACTTGTCGAAACAGATTAGGTCCAGACTTTATGGTCTTGTCCAAAAAAACCATTCACTAAGCCAGGTTTTACCATCTTCCAACATACCTAGCATTTTCTCCTTGGATTCAAACTTCAATAATACCAGGTTGCCTCCTATAACTGTGACTGAAAAATGCAAGACTCCTTGATTGAAAATGTGACGTTGAAGCATGTGGATGGAGTAAGGGTTTTTTACCAGCATATTTCTTCAACCAATCCAACTGTAGTTCATTATCTTCCATAACAATCTGAACATGTGATACATTGTTGCCCTCAAAAATCAAACTTGATGATTCATTAGATTCTGCCTCTATCACTACCTTTCTTTTGGGGACTGTTATACTATCCCTTTCGTCCTGATTTGGAAGCTTTCGCTTAACCACTTCAGCATAAGAAGGTTATTCTTACCTAAAGTTTTCCAGTAAAGAGATGGAAGAATTTTGCTATTCTATCTTGCTAGATTTTTTATTGTTGTGCCTGTGTTATTTCTTTCATTCTTAGCTAGACCAACCCTTAGTTTCCATCCATTCTAGCAGTAGCTATCCAATACCCTTATGACTAACAAAGCCTCTAAAAGATATTTGAATAGAAAAAACCAAAACTAATCTTTATAAACTTTTTCAGTGCAGTGCAGAAGAATATAAAAAAGTCTGGAACTTTCCTGTACTGCATTACAAATCCCATAGCTCTTTTTCTCTGCTCGCTGGATTTATGTTATCCACAACAACGGTTATATGTTTCCTTTTCCATTGTTCAATCTTTGAGAACCTGCTCCTCTAACCTCGGTTGATTGCGACTGAACTCTTTGTCGTTCCAGCTCCACTTTCTCTCTCTAGTATTGTCTCTCATTTGACTTTTCTACTTTTTAAGTAGTGAAGATGATCTTTCCTTTATCTAAAACATTATACAAATTAAATTGTCCATATAAGACAATTATTTTTTTTAGCAAAGATTTTATTTTTTATATATTTATATAAAATATAAATTAAATCATATAAAATTTACATAAATTATGTCCAATAAATTGTACATATTGAAATAATAAGCATCAAGTATAGGTTTGATATTTAGTATATGAGGAGTTATAAATTTGATGACAATAATTGAAATTTTTTATTTTTCCTTAAGATAGTAGTTGGTATTTTTTGCAAAATTATCACGGTAATGTAATTACTGAGATTATTTTATTATCAAAAGGATCTTAACACTCATAATTTGAAATCATTTTATTTGATTAATAATTATTAATTTTTAAGAATTAAAGCTCATTGTGTTTGATAGTACTAAAAATCAAATATTATTTTATTTAAATAGAGGAAAATAATCATGCATATTATATTAGGTACACAAATTAATATTTTCAACGTTATTTAAAGATAATAATTTATAAAATTATTAATAATATTTATTTATTTTATAATAAAATATTATTAAATTATTAAAATAATAAATATATTTATTGAAAAGTAAATTAATTTTTATAATATAAATAACGTACAAATTCTGAATTAGAAAAAAATCAATATATTAAATTTATAATAAAAACAAAAAAAATTATATTATACATAAAAAAAGTAAAAAAAATACATAAATTATTTTTGAATTTATTATAATAATATTAATTTGAAAATATAAAAGCTTATAATATAAAATATTAATAATTTTATGACGTTAAAAATTTTTAATTGATATATTAAATGAATAAAATTAACTATTATTAATTTAAATATCATTTCATCTTATAATAAAAGATTTTCATCATTTTATATAAAAATTGTATTATCATTTAATATCTTGATCACTTTCAATAATTTAAAATTATTATTATATAAAATTACTAAATATTTATCAAATATAATTATTTAATTATTAGATATAAATATCATAATTTTTAAAATGATCACACCATTCAAATACCACCTAAACCTAAATAAATATGATTAATTTATCACATATCCAAGACAAAATGAATTTCTGAATTTGTAAAGTGAGATAGTGACATCAAGCTAAGCTAATTAAAACAAAAGATAGGACAAGACAGGTGGGTTAGTGGAAGAGCGGTGAAGAGGACTGGCAGGTAAGAAATTACGTTCTCCTTTAGCGACCTTTCTTCCCCTATCCTTTAATTAAAAATAAAAAAGGACAATCCTTTAAAAAATTAAAAATAAAAAGACCATAAAAAAATTAGAGAGAAAGGAGGAAAAGGGCGGAGGAAGGTAGTTGGGAAAATTGCAATGGTCTAGGGTTCTGATGAGACTCATCCAATTCCAATCTCCATATTATCAAGTGTGTCTATATACATAGCATCGGTGAAAAATAAATAAATCCCTACATATATCATATGTATGAATGCATGTATAGATGTACTCCAGCAATCTCAAGGGTTTTATTCTGGCGATGGTCTCCAGCGCCTTCATTGGTTCCAGCTTCATCATCAAGAAAAAGGGTCTCCGAAAGGCCGGAGTCAACGGCCCCCGTGCTAGTAAGTTCTTGCCTTCTTTTTCTTTTAAGGGGAAATTTCTTACTTTTTTATAATTATATATAGAGATTTAGACTGATTATTAATTTGCTTTCTGTAAGGTTCTGGTGGATATGGCTACTTGTTGGAGCCACTCTGGTGGGTTGGCATGCTTACTAGTGAGTTTCTTCCTTCTTGTGCTGTGTTCTATATGTAATCTATGGACAGCAAATCATGAAAATTATAGCTCAGTTGAGGCCAATTTGTTACCATCATTTGTAAAATGCTTAGTTTTAATATGACAGTGATTATTGGGGAGATTGCCAATTTTGTTGCATATATCTATGCACCTGCTGTTTTGGTAACGCCACTTGGTGCATTGAGTATCATTGTTAGGTAACTTCTTTGTTTTTTGTTGATTTTGAAATTTTAATTGATTAATTCGAAACTACTTTACTTAATTGATAGTTTCTGATCATCTCTCACTTCCTATCAAAATGGGCAGTGCTGTTTTAGCGCATTTCATGTTAAAGGAGAAACTACAGAAAATGGGAATGTTGGGATGTCTTTTGTGCATAGTAGGTTCCACAGTAATTGTGCTTCATGCACCTGAGGAGCGTTCTATTAGTTCAATTGAAGAAATTTGGGAATTAGCTACCCAACCAGGTGGGTTGCTAAAAGTTTCTTCAGATATTAAATGCTTACATCATTTTATTCTTAGCTTCCATTATCTTTACATTAATCTGTTTTCTTTTTTCCAGCCTTTCTTTTGTATACAGCTTCAGCAGTAGCTACTGCGTTGGTACTAATTTTCTATTGTGCACCCCGTTATGGTCAAACTAACATAATGGTGTATATTGGAATATGCTCAGTAATTGGATCATTGACGGTAAGATATTTCGGCTTTGCAACTAACTGGATCTTGGGATCTAATAGTTTTATCATTTTTGGTTTTTAGTAATTGCTGTCAACTTTTATCAATTTGAATGTTGTTTATTCTTCTGTGTTCTATTCGTAATGGACAATAAATGTTACTTTCTTGCAGGTAATGAGCATAAAAGCCATTGGTATTGCAATAAAACTAACATTGGAGGGCACCAATCAGGCCAAATACTTTCAAACATGGATCTTTGCAATGGTTGCAATTACTTGTATCATCACTCAATTAAATTATCTAAACATGGTAAGCATTTTAGCATACTCTTACATCTCACGATGATAATTGTAAAGCTGAACTAGATGTCTACTAAGCCAAGACTATCAAATGTGTTATACTTTTGTTACAGGAATCTAGAAAATATGTTTTGAAATTAAAAATTATTGCCGATGTAAGAGATTTGACTTGTCGACCTACATGAATAAACTAATTAGAAATTACTGATACATTACAGTAGAGGCTGATTGTTTTATACAATGATTAGTCTTGATCCAAAAAGTTTTACAATATCCTGGTACAAGAGATGAAAAGGAGTATTCCGCTTGTTAATTTCAAAATTCATTACAATGTTTGTGAATCAAGACTACTGGCAGTGGAGATTTGCCATTAATGCAGTTGGTTGTTCTTTGTATGTGATTATTGCAGCAAGGGCCTAACCCTAACACAAATTTAGGATCTGAATTATTTAGAAAAACAGAAAATATTTAATGAGGAAAATAGAGAATAGATCCTTGAGCTTAAGACTAAGTTTCCTTAGGAGTTATGTCTAAGGTTGATTGTATCACACAATTGAGAAGAAAAGGAAAGATCCTAAGATCTCTCCTAGGATCCTTAGGAGTCACACCTAAGGTTGATTGCATCTCACCATTGGAAAAGTAGTAATGCTGTAGATTCTCTAATAATATTCTATATTGCAATAAAAGTGGATTGATTTATATAGACTCTTGGCATCCATGGTCCTAAAAGAGCTATAACTCCTATTTCAATTAGGACTTTAATGAATATTTGCACTCCAAGAATAAAACTAACAAGGTTAACTTAAAACAAAACTCAATAGGATAAGGAAAACCCAAATTATGATCCTAAACCCTAATATAAATGCAAAATACCAAACAAAAACCTAGAGCCCTTATACTTGGAATATGCAAAATACTAATTAATAGAAAATAATCTAAATAAACTAAAATTTCTAAAGCTATAAGAAATTAAATATTTCTTTGAATGTGAAGAAATTTTATCAAATATAGAGTAGTTGCTATTCTTTGGAAATCTATATATAAGAGATCTAACAGGAACTCACTAGAAAAAGAAAAGATAACTAGATACTAAAGCCTATGATGAATGTTGCAACAAGGCCTACTCCATCAAATATTATTCTTCTAAAAGCAAAAATAAAGGTTTACTATATTCGGTGACTGAGAGATGTCATTTAGTGAGCACTAAATTATGAAGTGTGGATACATCGGTATCCTCAAATTATCAGTGGTGCATTTATGCTCGACACAGATAAGCCATCTCCACACCGGGATATGTATATGACATGGAAGGACATGTTAAAAGTAAGAATAAAAAGATTAGGACACCGTCAAGACATGGCAAATACACTACGGAAATGGGCTAGGCACAATGGTGAAATGACAATAAATTTTTGGCCTCTTTCACTTGGAAGAGAGGCAAAATATAGATGAAAGTTTCAGAAATTTTAATCTTCTTGTGCTTTTAATTCAAGTTAGAGATGAAAAGTTGATTAGAAGGTGGTGCGATCAAGGGAGGGAATGGAATAAGTTGCAGCACTGCATTGAACCAGGCTGCTGCTGCATGGTGAAGAAGTTGGAGAAAATTTTTATTTTTATTTTCTTATAGGAGAGTAGCAGGGCGTGAAGCTTTTAAATTAGGTTGGCTCAAGTTATCATCTATTTTCTTTTCCACTCTTAACCAAACAATGTTGATAAAATCAACCCTCTTGTCATTTTCCTCTTATTTTTAAGCAATTTGAATAAGGAGAACCTCACCTTCACCTTCCTCTTTTTTCTTCAGCATTGATATCCTCTCCTTCCCCTTGTAGTTCCTAGGCAGTGAAAAATACACACTGAAGCAAATGTAGATGTAAAATTTGTTGAAAATGGAATGTTTTCTTTGTTGAACTTGCTGCAACATTTGGTTCATGAAGTTGGCCAGAAAACAAGTTAACCTATGTAAGCTTGTGAGTTTAAAGATCTTGGATTGCCTGGTATAGAATAGAGAGGCAGTAATAATCTGAACAAGTTAAATGATATATGGATTAAGCATTGTTAGTGTATGCTTGTGTGTGAGTTGGAATATTATGGGAATATTCCATGGGAAACAGTTTAGGAGGGATTGATGTAATTTGTAATTGATTCTTTTTCCTTAATATTGTCTATATAATGAAAGGCTAATCCAAGAAATTAGCAAGCTGCTCTCTAAAGCCTTAATTCTAACGTGGTATTAGAGCTAGTAGCACAACCCTAGCCGTTGCCGCCTCCCTCTCTCTCTCTTTTCCTAAAACCCTTTGCGATAGCCCCTGTATTGTCACCTATGCCGTCGCTACTACAGACTTTAGGGCTGCGCACTTAAAACTTTTCCTTCCTCTTCAGCAATCCCTCATTAGTTGAAAAGGGGCAGCCCCTTTATTCGCAAAGGCATCAAGAAGAAGGGTTGCAACCTCTTCATGAATGATAGATTAAGGGAGACAAGTTCTTCTCGATATAGATCATGGCTGCAGAACTGGGGATAGAGTTCCCGGTTTTTGATTATGGGTTGTGTTACCCAATTGAAGGATTATCAGTTATGTTATGAAGGAAGAAGGTTTTATGGCCATGGAAAAAAAAGAGGCAACCGCATCAAAGGTGATAACTTTAAAGTTTATCACGGGCTCATGGTTGTCAGATGAGAAACTTGATGGCTCCAACTACTTATCATGGAGCAAGACTATGTTGGTGACCTTGCGAGGTCTTAGGAAGGCACGGTTTCTAACAAGTGAGCCATTTAAGCAAAGGAAAGTAGCGTGGGAGCAGGAGGACAATCAAGTGCTTGGACAATTATTCAACTCGATGGAACGACGAGTTAAAGTAATGTTCAATCAATACTTTACAAGGAACTTTGAGATGCTTTAAAAATTGTTTATGCAAATTTTGAGAATTGGTAGAGGATCTCAGAGGTTACCAGGGCATGGACTAGAATGGAGCAGTCCAATAGGAGCCTGAGAGAATATTTTACTGCATTCAAAGAGGTATATGATGAGTTTGATAAACTCATGCCCTTGTCTACTGATCTGAAGACAACCCAGGAGCAATGAGAGGCTCTAGCTATAGTGTTTTTCTTAGCAGGATTGAGGAAGGAGTACGCTAGTGCTAGTACTCAGATGTTAGCAGGCAGAGATCCACTTTCTTTATTGGATGCTTATAAGTGCCTAAGCAAGGTCACTTAGCATGATCCTCCACAGAAAGACAAGGCAGTATTTGTGGCCCCACAACGTGAAAGGCGAACATCACACAGAGAACGTGGTGGACGAGGTCAAGGATGTGGAAGTGGTAGAAGAGACCCACAGTCCTACTATCATTATGGACAGCAGGGACACTCACAGAATGTTTGTTTGCAGCTTTGGGGCAATTCTGACCCATATGTGACTGATGTTGTGCTTCAACCCAAGCAGCAAGAGGAGAAAGGAGTTCAGTTATCCCAAGATGAGTATGACAAGCTTATTCAGATGCTTCAAAATCAAACTTCTTTCTCCTCTCTGACAGCAACTTTTATACAAGGTAAATCTACTGCATGCTTGGCTACCATTCCAGGACTTGGGTGATTGATTTAGGAGCTGCGGATCACAAGATGGGTATTATAGGTACACTTTATTCATATATTTCTATGACCGGGAAATATTTTGTTTTGGTTGCTGATAGAAACTCTATAGATATTGTGGGAAGTGGCAAGGCTCGACCTATATCCACGTGACCTTTACATTTTGTGCTACATGTCCTTTTTTCTACTTTTAACTTACTTTCAATTAATCAGATTACAAGGAATTTAAATTGTAGTGTTTCCTTATTTCCTACTTATTGTGTTTTTCAAGATCTATTGACAAAGCTGACTATTGGTAGGGGAAGGATCGAAAGAGGTCTTTATGTGCTTGATGATATACAGAAGATATAGTCTGGATTAATGACATACTCAGAAGAATTGTCATCAGCTTATAAGTCTCATTGTCGTTTTGGCCATCCATTGATTTCAACTTTATGAGCTATGTGTCATCATTTATTATCTTTTAGTTTTGATTATGAATCGTGCAAGTTTGCTAAACTACACAGAGTATCCTATCGACCTCGATTTAATAAAAGGGAAAAGTTTTCTTTTGTTGTGATTCATTCTAATATATGGGGGTTTTGTCCTATTATTTCAAAATCTAGTTATAGATACTTTGTGACATTTGTTGATGATTATTCATGAGTTTGTTGGTTGTATTTTTTGCGGAGCCGTTCCAAATTATTCTGTCTTCACTACCTTTCATATAGAAATAGAGAATCAATTTGTAATTCTATCAAAATTTTACAGAGTGATAATGGGGGAGAGTATTTTTCTACAGAGTTTGTTCAATTCCTAAATGCAAAAAGTATTGTTCATTAGTCCTCGTGTACAGATATCCCACAGCAAAATGGGGTCGTTGAAAGGAAGAATCGCCATTTGTTGAAAGTGGCTAGAGCTTTTTTGTTTCAAATGAAGGTCCCTAAGGTGTTCTGTAGTGAAGCTGTCCTCATAGCATGCTATCTTATAAATCGTTTGCCATCCTCGATAAGGAAAAGTTCCTCTTCAATTATTGTGTCCTGATTGTCCCTTATTTTCAATCTCCCTCAAGGGGTTTGGGTGTACATGTTTTGTTCATAATAGTCGTCCAGGTCGCACTAAATTGGACCCACGTTCTCTTAAGTGTATCTTACTAGGTTATTCACATGTCTAGAAAGGGTATCAATGCTACTCTCTAGACTTGGGTCGCTTTATTATTTCAACAGATGTCGCATTTCATGAGTCAATTCCTTTTCCTTCGGTACTGTAGTCTCATCTGTCACCTATCATATAAGAAGAAGAAGAAGATTTTCTCATCTATTAGATACATAATACACCAATCAATGCATATCCTTCTAAGGCATGCCTAAATACTCAATTTGGTTGTACGTAGACTAGAAGGACCTTCATAGATCCGCTTATGGAAACTTCCCCTATCGACTCAGTGTCTTCGTCGATGGATCCACCTTGAGACACTATGGCTGAAGATGTATTGATTGCTCTATGGAAAGGTATGTGAACTTGCTGAAACTTTCCTTTATACACGCCCTAGTGCAAAGGACTTTCTGCTAAACTTCAAACTTGTATTGCCACAATTGATGCTATTACTGTGCTGCGTACTCTTCGTGATGCTTTTGCAGATTCAGGATAGCGTAAGGCTATGCAGGATGAGATGATGGCCCTAAAGGCCAATCATACATGGGACTTGGTTTCCTTGCTATAAGGGAAGCAAGCTGTTGGGTGCAAGTGGGTTTACACCTCAAAATTGAATCCTGATGGTTCATTGGCTAGATTATAGGCAAGACTAGTAGCAAAGGGATATGCACAAACATATGGAGTAGATTATTTTGATACCTTTTCACCAGTGGCAAAAATGACATCTATTCGCCTATTTCTTAGTTTTGCTACTACACATAAATGGGCATTACATCAATTGGATGTGAAGAATGCTTTCCTACATGGTGACTTGTCTAAGGAGGTATATATGGAGTAACGACCAGGGTTTGTTGCTGAAGGGGAGTTTGGGAAGGTTTGTCGTTTGCGTGGTCTCTCTATGGTCTAAAGCAATCTCTACGCACATGGTTTGGCAAATTTAGTGTAGCTTTTGTTCAATATGGTATGCAATAGAGTGAAAAGGATCATTTAGTATTTTATATGTGGCAAAGTTCAGGCCTTATATTATTGGGAGTGTATGTAGATATCATCATCACTAGCAATGATAGTGTAGAGATTGACAGAGTTGAGGTGTATCTTAAGTCCCAGTTTGAGACCAAGGATCTTGGTTGATTGAAATATTTTATGGGTATTGAAGTGGCAAGGTGTAAAAGGGAAATCTTTGTAGCTCAGAGGAAGTATGTGCCGGATATCTTAAGAGATGCAGGCTTGTTCCATGCCAAGCCAAGTGACACATCGATGGATCCAGGTATCAAGCTGTCCCCATAAGATGGTATTTTACTTGATGATCTCACACCTTATAGGAGACTAGTGGGAAAACTGAATTACTTGACCATGATGAGACTTGATATATCTTTTCCAGTGAGTGTGGCAAGTCAATTCATGGTAGTGCCTAGAGATACTCACTGGAGAGCAGCAATGTGCATCCTCCGATGTTTGTTGAAAAATCCTAGAAAGGGACAGTGCTACTAGTGATAGGGGCATTCAAGCCTATGTAGATGCAGATTAGTCATACTCTCCCATAGGTAGGAAGTCTACATCTGGTTATGCTATATTCATTGGGAGTAATCTGGTGTCCTAGAAGAACAAGAAGGAGCAAGTAGTTATTAGGTCTAGCGTAGAAGTAGAGTATAGAGCCATGGCTTTGGCTCAACAGAGGTACTATGGATGGTTCAATTCTTAGATGAAATTGGGCTTTTAGTTCGGACCCCTACAAAGTTATGGTGTGATATTCAAGTGGTGATTCATATTGCTTCCAATCCACTATTTCATGAAAGAACCAAGCATATAAAAGTTGATTGAAATTTCATTAGGGTAAAGTTGCAGAGTGGAACAATATTATTGAAGCATGTGTGCATAGGGGAACAACTAGCCGATATTCTTACGAAATCACTTCCAGGAGTTCAAGTTGACTATATATGTAACAAGCTGAGCATGATTGATATATATACTCCAGCTTGAGGGGGAGTGTTAGTGTATGCTTGTGTGTGAGTTGGAATATTATGGGAATATTCCATGGGAGACAGTTTAGGAGGGATTAATTGAGAACATTAATGTGTAATTTGTAATTAATTCTCTTTCCTTAGTATTGTCTATATAATGAAAGGCTAATCCAAGAGATTAGCAAGTTGTTCTCTAAAGCCTTAATTCTAAGCATAAGCATTCTTCCTTGCCCTCACTATTCCATGGAGGAGGAAACAAACTGCTGTTTAAGCAGATGAACATTTAATTTGAAATTGGAAACAACATTAAGAACTGATCACGAGATGCTTATCTAATTGATGAGACCTTGTACTATAATTTTAGGGAGAGATGAAGGCTTATATTGCCTTCTGTTAGAATCTTAAGTTTCCCTATTAGATTATACTATATTGTTTATGTTATCATCTTTAAATTGTTAAAAAAAGAACTAAACTCCTTTAACACTATGCATGGTACATTATTCAAGGAGAGTAATAAAGGGATATGTACATTATTCTTAAGCTTCCAACAACCATCAAAAAGATGATATGTACACAAATCAATTAAAGTAAGCAGCCTGGGTATTTTGCTAGTTTTTGCTTTTAGTTTCATCACTCTGATATGGATACTTTAATGGATTGGATCATTATGTGATAAAGTCTTTTACCCAACTGAGCAACTTCTTACCGTGCCTTTAGAATTTAGCTTTCTATTTAAAATTGTCAGATATCTGGTTTCTTAGGGTGCCATAAAGTGGTTGATCTGTTTGAATTGTTGACTTTGGCATGCATTTGTTATAGGGAGAAGGTAAATTTACTATTGTGCATAGACTTCAATTGTTTCTTTTTATGGAATTGGTTGGGTTCAGCTAGTTTTAGCCTTATAGGTATATCCCTTTTCGACATACTTCAAAGATTCCTGTTCTCATACTTCTCTTTTGTTTTTGTTTTTGCTTTTTCTATCACTATTGCAGGCCCAAACTTTTTGTTTGTATAATGCTTAACTGTGTTGCTTGGGATTGAAATTGAAAATATTTGGAGAAGATAGTCAATCCTGATTTTTTTAATGTTAAAGATCAATTTCATGTGAATTATTAATGAAGTCTATTCTTGAATTGCAGTTCCAAATTATTGCAAATTTATGTAATGCTTTGATGTGGTTGCAGGCATTGGATACTTTCAATACAACAATTGTTTCTCCCATTTATTATGCCTTGTTCACTTCTTTCACAATTTTAGCGAGTGCAATAATGTTTAAGGTATCTTCCTTTCCCATGTACATGCAAAACTTTGCTCACAAATGGCTTTTCTGATGCATGAATTATCTATGAGCCTTAATATTAGATTTGATACTTATTAAATTCAATATGAAACATTAATCCTTAAAAGTCAAAATGGCTTTTCAGATGCATGAATTATCTATGAGCCTTAATATTAGAATTGATCCTTATTAAATTCAATATGAAACATTATTCCTTAAAAGTCATGCACATGGGACAGCGAAGGGAAGGACGGAGGGGGGCAGACTGTAATTTTGGAATTTTGAATACTAAAGATACATCCAAGATATCACTGAATTTCTCACTGTTGTGGGTTCAAAATGTGATAACTTTCTTCTGAGTTGCTGATGTATGTGTACAGTATCCTAATATGCACTTGAGATAATGAACACATTCATTGTAAACTTAATGATTGGTAACTTTGGTGGATGAGAGTTTGTCTAGGAATTTAAAGGACATAAAGATTTTTATTTATCGCTGCAAACTTCTGTTTTAAGGGCAAACTTTGTATCACAAGCTCTGTTTTTTTTTTCTTTTTCTTTTAATCCTCAAGGCCTAAAGTTTATGGAAGTAATACTCAAAAGCACATATGTATTTACATATGTGCATGCATATATGTATATTTCTTTACCATCATATTCTTAGGACTATTTCCTAATTATCAAACTATCCACCATCACTTGTTGAAGCAAACACGAGTGTTTCAGACATAGACATAACGTACCTGACATGACAACTCTAAATTATTTATACAGAGATGTGGCTATGTTCATGTGTTTTTGTAATTTTAGGGTAGTAATGATCTCTATTTAAGTATTATTCCTTATTTAGTAATTATCTCTGTTTAAGTATTATTCCTTATTTACTATGTTACACAAACTCGAGGATGAGTTTTGGATACAGGTATGCATCTGACATAGATATGCTTAATTTTTTCTAAATTTTTCCATGTTGTGCCTCCATACCCATGTCAGCATCATAGCTTTTTAATATGCTTGCCAAAAGAACCATATATACTTACAATTATGTAAATTCTTACAGTTATGTAAATTAATCTTTATTGTATTTTCCTCTTCTGTTTTGCTTTTATCTATTTTTTGGGGGGGAGTGCGGTGGGGGGATAAAATCCATGAATAAATTATTTTGATTTTTCTTTTGATTGTTCAAACAAGCATCATTGGACATGAGTCTCATGTCCTTGAGAAATAGGCTGGTTCTGTTTCTACTTGTCCTTATTATAGTTTCTTTTCCCCATTTTGTAGGACTACTCTGGTCAAAGTGCTAGCAACATAGCATCCGAGCTTTGTGGTTTTATAACAGTGTTATCTGGGACTACTGTATTGCATAGTACAAGAGATCCAGATACACCTCTTATCACAGGTATCTCTCGTATATGAACTGATGAGGAACTTGGTTTAAATTAGAGCACCTGTTTCTGAAATTTGAATGCACTATATTTCCTAAATGTGTTATGATATGGGATTTAAGGACAATTTTCGTTGAATCTTGGAAAATATATTACCAAGAAGAGCATAAAAGGATTGAAGATGAGTTTAGCTGATTACAGGTCTAAAGAATAAGTAAAGGAACTTTACTTAATAAAAAATTTTTTAATAACTTTTATGATCATTTTGTATATAGTGAAAAACATAACTCAGCCATATTAATGACATTTTGGGAAAGAATGCTCTAAGATTCCCGAGGCCAAAAAAAAAAAAAAAGAGGAAGAGAAAACTTAAAGGTGGAAACAGTAATGCAATTTAGGCCTTAAGTCAGAATTTGTAGCCCTTCAAGCTCTTAAACTCCAAGGAATGTAAGATGTCCAAGCAACCAAACTTGAAAATGTATGTAAAATTTTACCTTTTAACTGTCCTAGCTAGAGGGTAGAGGGCCAGAAGGCCACACCTCAACACTTTTACTAAAAGCAACCTCAGATAAGCTAAAATTGGTTTGCCCGCTGACTTTGCGAAGCCAAATTAGGTTTCTTAACCCAAATAGAGTCCAAAGTAGAAAAACATGCCAGTATCAATTGTATACACTATAGTACGGTCTAACTAGGAACTAATTTGGTAAAATATACAGTTTGGTAACTAGTCTCATAACAATCCTAGCTAGAGGCTAGAGGCTAGAGGGCCAGAGGGCTGGACCTCAACACACTTTAATAAAAAGCAACCTCAGCTAAGCCAAAGTTGGTTTGCCAGCGTACTTCCGCTTTTTTGCATAGCCAAATTAAACTTGAATATATATATATATATATATATACACCTCAATGGGGGAGGTGTAGGTAACTACACTTCCATTTGACTTCATATTTTTAAAATCTCTGCTGACTTGCCCAGACCCTTAAGATATGTGTTTGTTTGATACCCTTATTATTGTGTGACAGTTAAAATTTTCTTTTCTCTTTGCAAAATAAGAATAATAATGAAGCTATAATGGTGTAGGACAGCTTGAAGGGATAGGATTTACGATGATTTTCTGATATATATTGACAATGAATTCATGAAAAAACAGCAAAACTTGAATAATTGAAAGAAAAATAATAGAATCGACCCCTATGCTTCACACATAATTTTCCATGATTCCATCATACAACCAAGAAAAAAGAAAACCTAAGCATCAGACCTAGGATAAGGATAATCTCTCATGATAATATGTCTTCCATAGAAAGAGTACATTAGTATTTATATAAACTCCTAGCATCCCTGATCCAAAATATTAGAACTCCTCCTTAGACCCCAAATAGAAGAAACTAACAAAATAAACTTAAAATAAAACCTAATAGGACCCAAAAACCCAAACTGAAAGTTCCAACCTCTAATTATAAAATGAAAACCAATAAAATACCAGAACAAAGGCTAAAATTGATGTAAAGTCAAAGTTGGAAGAAGAAAAGTAGGGTTAAGGGTTGTAGAGCCTCTAACAAATAATATTTCACTAAAATACCACTGCCTAATGTATCTGAAAGACTATTTATAACAGGATTGCATCAATTTTTAATCCTAGACCTTGAATGCACATAACATCTAATCCTAACTATTCACACTCAATAAAAGATTACATGCCCGTTAATGAAATAAAAACATTATTACTAACTATAAACTCAACCAAAACAGAAAAATTATATATATATATATATATATATCAAAATAACTAATTGTGATAACTTAGGGAATGCTCCTGCATCATTCTCCTCAGGTGGACAAAAGGCCTTCGTTAGTGAAAACTTTGGTAGCCTTAGCATATATTTCTCAATCAGTCCTCTTCGGTTGATCTCCTGCAATCCAAGTAATCTCACTAGCCTTTTCATTCAACTCCATGATACATTTGAAACAAGGATCACTGAGTACTGATATTTTAGTTCTTCAAAAGCAGTAACTTGGTTGCTCTTTACTATTTTCACTGGCCAATCATCCTGACCAAGGAGAGCTCCAATTACAATATCTGATGCATCACACTCTACAAAAGTTGACTTCTCAAAATCTGGTTGTGCAAGAACCAGTGCTTGGAAAGCTTAATCTGTTAAATGGCTCTTTGTGCAGAATTTGGCCGCTCAAAGCTGTCCCTCTTCAAGCATTTAGTGATATGGCCCGTAATGAAACTAAAATTCCTTCTGAACCTTCTATAGAACAAAGCTAACCCATCAAAATTTCTGAACATTTCCAAGGTATTTAGGTGCTGCTAATGATTGCAATTAAATTATGGCACTTTGAGCATAATTTACTTTAGGCAGAAGTCGTACTAAGGACAGCATTCAATTTCTTTTATAGCAACCTGACTTTTTTTATTATTGTTGAATTTAACATATCCTATAGAGGTATTAGTTTTACTTTCCTGGCCAGTACAGTCTTCCTTCAAAGCTAAAAAGGAAGCCAAGAAGGGCAGAATTTGTCTGACAAAATTATCAGGGAAAAACCTGATATATTTAAAATATGCAGATCTATATACCCCATTATCTCCAAAAGTATCATGGTACATCCAAGGCAATGGGGAACTTTGGAAGCAGAAGGATGAAGATGGGTCATCACCTAGCTTTATCACGATTCTCCGGCAAGACTATTTCAAGTAAATATATTACAGTCAGTAAACTACTTTCAGATTGTCTCTCTCATGAGTGAGTATTGAGAATCACCATATGCTGGTGCAGATCAAAGCATTGGTAATTTGTTTTAGTATTTAGGACTTTTTAATTATTTAAGGTTTAATTTTGTAGAATGTCAAATCAAATAATACTTGATGCTATTTTGTGCAGTAGTCAGCTATTCATTTCAAGGAATGATTTCTTCAATAGGTTTAGTTTAGGGTTTTGTCCTTTGACCCCCCCTCCCTTCCCTTTTTTGCCTCCAGTTTTTTACTTGTAGCTATAAGTTATGTCCTTGTGCAGACAAGGAGAGTCGTTAAGGGGTGTAAGTTCTCGAAATGAGGTCAATTTAAGGAAAATTTGTTTTAGTTGTTGAAAGAAATAATATCAACTTTAACCTGCGTTTTTTCTTTAGTATTAGTTACCGCTGATTTGTGGTGGAATATTGTTTCCAAATGGTATCGACGGGTAGTCTTCTCTTACTGGTTTGTTGCAATGCATTGAAAAGTGTTTATTTTATCCCTTACATCCCTGTCCCCATCGCTACCTCCTCAAATATAGCGCTGCAGTATCTCACCATGGTGATGTTACCGTCATGAATTTGGAGATATCAAGTAATTTGCTTGCATTTGCATCTTTGGTAGTGGTTGTGGCTGGCTGAGTTTACACCTTGGCAAAAACGTACATTTGATTGAAAAAAAAAGTCTACTCACCAAGAAGAGTAGCTATCGTAGCTGAATTTAACATTTGATGATTTTTATATGTTAATGTTTCCTTTGCATGAAAGCCGCCTGTGTTT